GTCAGGAGTATGATCATAAGAAGCCTGAAATTAAATGTTATGCAATCCTGAGATATTAAAAAAGGGTGAACGAAAAGTTTCATGGAAGCGAATAAACACAGGAAACAATACAACAATATGTAAGTGCCATGACGAACTGATGGCAGATTAGGATTATGGTAGGAATCTAAATAACACAGAGTAAGGCATAATGTTATTTCCACCCTCCTGTGACCTCGTTCGGAAGCTGAGACCGCTCCTAATTTACATGGAACATTCATGTACAAGCCTGCCTACACAGCACAGGAGTGTCACCAAAATGGATTATTTTGGAGTTTACGGCATGAACTGTTAAGAAGATGAAAAAATTCACCTAACCTAAGACTGAAGAAACAACAGTGACTCTATAGAATCCCGGACTCAGGAAGCTCTGAGCAAGCATAACATATTGCATTGACTGATCATCAAATTGAATGTACTGCAAGTGGATTACTGACCTCATGTGGTGAAATTTCGAGAAAATGGAAGGTCAGGTAATTCGCGGAATTCCCTTTTCAGTGGAACATAATGGATATAAGAGTCAAACGGGTAGGTGTCAAGAACAACGTCGCCGGACGTTAAGGTAAGCTTGAAGCAATTAAGGATTAGGCAAGAATTAATAAAAGGACACGCTTAAATTAAGGACAACTATTCATCAAAAGAAAAAGGGACAGATATAAGAGGATTTAAAAAAAGAGAAGATTGCAGTCAAATGAGTCTAATCAAGGAATCGCCCAGCTGGTGACACGAAGTTGAGTAATCACAAGCGTATTAGTAAATAACTATTAAGGATAAGGGTTCCAGGATTTGGATAAGCTAGCAATCCAACTGAGTTTTTCGTAAGAGGATGGATACTATTATTTTGGCTTGTTTTGATGATACGACCATTAAAGATGAAAGTTTTTAATCCTCGTGCGAACCGAATCTGATTAAAAGGCTTAACAGAATTATTATAGAAAAGGAAAATGCAGCATAGAAAGACGAAGAAGTAGATTTCTACACAAGGAATGATATGGAAGCCAGACATAAGAAAGCTCAGGAGAATGCGAAAGAATGGTTTGGAGACTGATGCAAGTGAAAATTGGAATTTTACGAAACCAGAGCGACTGTAAATGGGCAGCGGGAGTAAAGATCACGGCTTTTAGAGCCATTCTCGGTTTGGCTATCTTGCACTTTCTGTCATAGTTCCGGGACTAATCATGTGAATGAACCCATTAGCATTACAATTGCTAGGATCGTGGGATGATAGTCAGCCATTTAGATAAGATAGTAATTTTTATGAAGTGAAGGTCAAAATGGATATTCCATTTGGAAACAGAAAGTCATGTAGACGAAACTGATGACACTCCGCAAAATCCACCTGATCATATGCACTCTTGGGAACCATTTGAACGGACAAAGACAGGAATAGGTGTAGATGGGAGCTAAAGCGCTAGGAACTTGGACAGAGAGAGCTGAAATGCCACAATTTATGAACAGAAAAATGATCATGTTTGTCATATTGATGAGTTGTTGCTAGGTGCTAAAGATGGCGCCCCTCAATAAGGCTGTCGACGAAGCTTTTGATACTACAACAAATTATGCTTTGCAATACTGGAGATGATTGAGAAGACTCTTGCAAGAAACGCAGAGCTGGGTACTTTCTAGAATGTCATTTTCTCACACTAACAAGCTTGTAAAAATGGGGTCAAGCTAAATTCATAAAAATTATATAGGATGATAAAATGCTACTAATAAGATTAGGAGTAATGTCATACGATTATTTGCCCGCCTATACTCATATTTTAAGGCACACTGTTTTGCGCTGTAAAAATAAAAGAAACGGGGTCCTCTAACCAAAAAGCGGCTAAATAATGACTTTTTACAAAAGATTTTAATTAGGCATTAAAACGTTAATAGAATGACCTGATCCTTGAAAAATTTTCCCATCTTAGGCAAAAGTAGTACATAAAGTTATGACTCTATTTAGCACATGTAGCTAGGTTTGCTAACCGGATCCATCACCCTGGCACAACTCGCGCCTCCTCTCTAGCTCCGCACGGTTGAAATTCAGCCGCTTGAGGCAGACCAGACCATACTGTAGACTAAGCCTGTGAAACTGGTCGATCATTTTAAGATGAATTCGTAGATCCCTACGCGCCAATTGACTGAGCATACGAGCGTCCACGAGACATTCCATGAAGGCAGGTCGGTACTGTGCCAAGCCCAGGCTGGGCAGCCAAGCATTGCCGATCCATTCATGGTTCATTTCACCCTACGTTTAAAAAAAAATCAGTCTAATAGCAGTAAGAGCGGAGAGAGTAGAAGGCCACATGTAATTGTAGCAATTTTTAAAACACCTTTATTTCCATATATTGAATTAGATTAGTGGATTTGGAAATGAAAATATATGAAAATGGGTGAACAATCGTAGATGTTTAAAATAGCCTAATCATTAGTGTGTAACTTACAGCAGATATTTCTTAGTTAAGGCATAAATGAATGAACTTAATTGAATAATTACTCAAGTTTACTATAATATTATTCAGTGTAATGGAGGGATAGCAATATATTTAAAGCAGCATTCGATAAAATTCATTTCTGCTTATCTCTGGTCTATTCTTCTTGAATGCCGAATAAGACATGAAAGCTGAATAGTTGAACATATATCGTAAAAAAATTCATCCTAATATTTTGATTTTTCCTCAAAATTTGTTGTATAAAAATTGCTTTTGGTCCAATCCAAACTATTTTGAGTTCTAATATTATACAAAATCATCTACCAAGTCAAAAGCCGGATGTTAAAAATCACAAACACTATGGTAAAGGACGCATGACAAGGTGTATTTAACAAGGTCTCCCTGATACTCCGATTAAGTTACGAAAACGAGGTCAGGCCAACGCTATAAACCTGAAGGAGATTGCTGCCAAGCCTACGGCCACACCACCTTCGCCTTCATATCTACCATGTAATATTATACAATTTATTTTTACTAATTATTCTGTGGTTTCTAAAAAAAGAACAAAAAAGAACCAAAAGTACTTGGAAGAGAGAGAATTTTTACAACAACATAATACAATAAGAGCATCAAAAATAACTGTATTAAATTTTACACCGATGTGTGATATTTTATTAAATATGAAAGAAACTATCTGAAAAATGCTCATAGGGATATTTCATGTGTACTCTGGGTTCCACTGCTAGCTCAAAAGCTAGTCAATTGGCTATTCACTCTTAAAATTTAGCTCCCCTTGGGCATGACGCAAATGGCCGAATATTCAACTTTCTTAATAAGCAAAATAAAAATGAGGTATCAATTTTACAGGTAAACCTTATCCAGAGAATTAACTTATGAAACTGAATCGGGGTTTGGATTAAGGCTTGGAGAAAATTGCTTAAATTTTGACGTCAGCACTGCTTCTAAATCGGTTATGCAATGAGGGAAGAGATCCAATTACAAAGGCAGCATGAAGAAAAAATTGGTGCAAATCCATAGACCGAGTTGAAATGGATAAAATGAGCTCATTCATGTATATTACCCCAATTTTGAGGAAAATATATTGCTATCGAGAGGCCTTGTCTAAATTCACATCTAAGTCAAATGGCAAGCGCTAACAAATGGGTAGCTCTAAGAATCATAAATATACCTTTATCTACTATAAAGCTGAGGAGGAAAAGCCTCGATTCTAACGATTAGAGGCCTTTTGATGCTGGATTTTAATATAAAGCGAATGTGATAGTTAAAAATCATATTTATACTTATATTCACACCGTAATATTCTGATTTAAGCAAAGAATAAAGATGGTGCCAAATTATGATAAGTTTATAATAAGATTTTATTTTCAAATTAAGGAATCAAGAGTTGGGCTAATCAGGGCCTGTAATAGTTAAAGGCTAAGATCATATTTCGGATCAGCTTAATAATAAAGGGCTTTATTCAAATATCAATGAAATAACTTAATTTCTGAAATTAAGCATGTATGCACTCTGCAAAAAAAGATAAATCTTGTTCTAGATTTGTGTATAGTGATGAAATAAAAACGAGGAAAGGACACTGTTATGTGGGGCCGTAAATGCATCTATCTCCGCGTGAAATAATGAGTTTTAATAACAAAAAATGCTATCAATTCCTTTTTCAAACAGTGATTGAATCGATATCATTGAGAAAAAATTTAAATGAATCTTATGCAGTTCACATAATATACCAAAATGAGTCTTCAATTCTTGCTTACCAGATTCTATTATATCGGCCAATTTATTCAGATTCAGCCCAAGCTTCTTATATTATATTCATTAAAAATGTCATAATATTAATGAACTGAATAATTAGAATTAAGAAGCCGAGACCGAGGGAATATAGCTAGCAAATTAGATAGGAAAGAAAGAAACAGAGGAAAGATATTTAGATGATTAAGTTTCTGAATAAGGACGAAACGGGAATACGAAACCCTAGAGGAAGGATATAAAACATTTAGCTAAGGTGCTTTCGCCTTCCAAAACTTTCTTTAAGGGCTTCCATTAAGAGATCTTTGCATCGAACGAAGATAAGGCTATGAATTGGGAGGAAAATTTGC